ACTGGAGTGGTCCCTATTCATCTACTCGCATTTTTACATGCTTTCGAACGGCTAGGGAGCTGGGACAAGTGACAGGAGCTCACTCCGTCACGTGGATTCGATCTTGTGATGGTTGGTCTTGCGACCTTGCAGCACAGAGGCTTATGTGGTTTAACTCACGGCGCCACCATGTCCCATACATAGGCAAAGAGGATGATTCTAAAAGCAGTATTCCTCCCTATTCGTCACTAAAGCATGGGATGTGGGCTTTACCAGCGCTTAATGGAATTTGCATCCAACCTGGGGTCTGAAGACAAGGGACCTGTGCACCTCCCCATGCAGTTAAAAGCAGTCAAGTGAACATTCCTTTCTTTGCATGGTCAATTGGAGGGGAAGTCTCTACTGGAAGCAGGATCTCAGGCTGAGTGTTTCATACCACCTCTGGCCTCCAGGTGCATCTCCTGCTCTTGCTGCTTCTTCATCTTCATTCTTTCCACCTTTCCTTATTTTTGATCGGAGGTTGGAGTGCCACAGTATCTATTTTTTTCATGTAGATGACAATGGTGGTTACCATGGATTACCTTAAGCATCCTCCCTCCTAACAGTACTAGCAAGTGAGTGACCGGACCTAAAGCCCGTATGGCCTTCAGAGATTAAAAGAAACTATTGATTCTTTTCGCTAAAAGTGCTCTTAAGGTCCTGGTTCAACAATGTGATAAGTTTATGGGGAGGATTCCCCTCCCCTAGTTTCAGAATTTTCAGGATCCTGGCTTGCGATCAACTGGTTGGCATATGCCCCAGTCTATCACTGAATAGAGATGCAAGATAGAACATCAAATCAGTTTGAAAGGTTTTCTAGAATTCTGCTGGTAGACTGTCTGTTCCTGGTGATTTATCTATTTTTATTTATTTATTTTGAATCACTTTCTTGATCTCTTCTGCTGCAACTGCTTGCTTAAGGAGGTCTCTGTGTGCATCAATAAATGGAAATAGTTCTGAAGATTCAATGGAATGGTCTATAGAGTGGCATAGTTGTTCTAGCCACACCATGCTGCTTTTTAATTTATGTGTACATTCACTATAATGCTACCATACTTAACCCAATGACTTAGCCCTGATTTGCATTGAGGACCTCTCTGTGCTTAGGGCTTTGCTTTCCTCCTGTGCATTTGCTCAATTTTTCCCCAATGGCACCATTAACAATTACGCCTTGCAAATTGTAGGAAGGAGGAACAAACGTTATCTTTACATTTCAAGAGAGATTAAGTGTTTTCTAGCCTGAAGCCCAAATTCTTTCCTGTTGTCTCCCTGTGGCATCAGTATATGGCTCTGGAAAGTAAGCAATACCAGGCTAAAAAGCTGTTCTTGCCTGTGTGGGCAAGACAAAAGCACCAGATTATATTTAACTGGGAAAACTGCTACTTATGATGGCTGGTTGGGGCAGAATGGAGTCCCTGTCCACCCACCTCCAGCAGATTATACTTTGTCCACCCCTGTGGAAATTCTTCAGGTTCATAATTGACCTGGTCTGTGTTATGACACCCCCTGAGTCACAGTTCAGCATGTTATCCATCCAAACATCTGTGGTGGACAGAATTTTTGGACTATATCCAACCCACAAGGGATGCAAAAAACCAGCCACAGTCCATCCATCTTACACAGTCTCCTTAGTTGCAGTGGTTCCCAGCCTTGGGTCTCCAGATGCTCTTGGACTAAAACTCCCAGAAGCCTTCACCACTAGTTATGTTGGCTAGGATTTCTGCCCTAAGGCAAAGGAATAAAATCTGTGTTACTGCCTAACCAGGGCTGCAGAAACACGGCTGTCCACTTACCATGGAAGGAGCTCCATGGAATTCAAGACAACCTATATTATTCTGCTCTAATTTTATTTCATCCTCACAACAAACTTGCATTAGCAGACTGTCCTATTCATTGAGCTTTATAGCCAAGTATTTGTTTCAACCTGGATCAAACAATGGCCGCCGCTTCCCTAATGTCTCATATTTGACTAGACCAGGTATGGCGGGTGGGATCTGTTGCTGCTGGGAGCCTGCCATCGCTGGTATCTTCATACCTTGGGATATTTGCTGGATTTCCAATATCCAACTTGCAAACCAGCCTCCCAGCGGCAGGCAAGTTAGCTGTCTTCTCTTTTCTCTCAGTAGGCATCAGGCGGGCTGGATGCCCATCGATCTGTCCATTCCCTTGGGAAGCCCACATGGCAGCACTCAAAAGAACTTTCCATGAATGAGCATTACAGATATGTTGTAAATTAAGTCAAACTGAAGAAGATACTTTGGTTTCCCTCTGAAAGACTGAACCAGCCACACCACCTGTGCTCCTAACTTAAAACTTTAATTGTTCACACAGATCTTCTATATAAGTCCTTAATTGCCACACTAATTGGAACAGATGGTCACCTGAGATGCAGAGAGCTTACAGCAGAGGAAAAAGTAGTGTACACCTGACATTAGGAAAGCTGGGGAGCAGTTTCAGCTCCCCACCTTCCTTCATTTCCAAATGTGAGAATATCAAGCGCTGGAGGAAGACAGGTGTGCAAAGTTGGACGTTAGTCCCAAAGATCATCTTCTAGAACGGTACTTCTCAGCCTTGGGTCCCCCAGATGTTCTTGGACTACAACGCTCAGAAATTCTAGCCAACGTAGCTACTGGTGAAGGCTTCTGGGAGTTTTAATCCAAGAACATCAGGGAAAGCCAAGGCTGGGAATCATTGACCTAGCCCCTGATGATGCAGAAGAAGGTCCACAGGTAGAGCATCCCTGACAGGTGGACATCTAATCTTTCCTAAAAACCCTCCAGCGACAAAGTCGCCCATTCTACTGTGGAGCAGCTCTTCATGCCAGGAAATTCTTCCTAATATTTAGGCAAAACCTCCTTCAATCTAATGTCAAACAATACAGTGGAAGGATGATCTCAAGGCATTGAGTCCACCCTATACCTGGGAAATTGGGAAAGACTAATATGGCCTGAGAATTCCCCATCTCTGGAATGCTGCCTTCTCATTTCAGGAATCCTGTAGCTTGTTCCCAGTGTGAGAACCTCCATGCATGAATGGGTAGCCAGCTCCACCATTCTACTTCCATGCCCTACTTCCATTCACTCACACAAGGCAGCGTGCCTCAAAGCCCTCCGTTCTCGCTTCACTATGAAAGAGGCATGGAAGTGACCTACTTCACAGGGCTCCTGCAAGGGGGTATCAAGATTCCAAGTGCTTTGCAAAAGAATGGCCATAGAAACAGTTAGGATCTTAATCCAACAGCTTGTACAATCGTGGTTCAGCTCTGCTGAACAAAGCAAAGCCCAAAATAAGACCTTAGGCTGAGCTTTGAAGTAAGGCACATTTCAGATTTACCAGGCTAGCTGAGGCTACTTTAACCAGTTCAACAGGTTAGTTCTCCCAAACTGTTAGCTTACTTGGGGCTCAGAATATACTACTGCATCCAAAGGGATAGAAACTATAACAAAGACCTTCTGATGAGACCCATGATTGAGAACGGGAGGAAAAGCATTTGGAGGAGTTCCAACCCTCATCGTAAGCATGTTTACAGAGTCAATACTTGCATTTAGGGGAGGCTTAATGCATTGATTAGATTCTGAAGACATGCGTTCAGTCAGCCACGAACACACATTTTGCTTCTGCCCTATATGCCTGTCCCCAGAAGCGTAAGTACACAGACTCTGGCATAGCCCCTTCCAGAACAATTGGATTGGTAACTTAGCTGCACACCTTTAAACTACGGTAGTAGGGTGCAGGCTAGCATATGTAAATGCCCCCTTACTTAAAATGCAATTCCACATGTTATAGGTCAGTGTGGTGTTTTGGATAGAGTGAAATACTATGACTCAACAGGTCAGGGTTCAAATCCCTGCACAGATGTGGAAACTCACTGGGTGGGAGGCAGTGATAACTTGCTCCTTGAACGTTTCACATTCCTAGAAAGCCGTGGTAGGGCTGCCATGAGTCAGAAGTAATTTGATGGCATGTTGATAAATAAAGGAATGTAAGGGAGAGGCCAAGATAGACCTAGAGGTAATTTTTTCCTATGTGAGGGTGGAAAAGATTATTTTCAGAGGGGGAGCATATAGTTTTATTAATCCTCAAGTGCTGTAGCTCAACAGGACTTCTGTTGCACCCCTGTACTCACTTTAGGATGCAATTCTCAAGGATGAAACCATTCAGATCTAAGTTGTACAAGATCAAAAGCCAGGTTCTCCATACAAGCCTCAGGCTGCTAGCTTTTCCAAATTCTTCCAAATTCTTCAATGCAAACCTGAGCCAAAGCCTCCTTTCTTGTCTTGGGGGAAAAAAATTCTATCATAATGTTGCAAAGTTGCTTTTCACCTGATAATCTGGAAGTCTAAAACATCTGGAGGGCCAAGGATTGAGAATGAGTGAAATGGACCATTCTGAGCTCAATAAAACCAGTGGCCTGCAGTTCTGCTGAAACTCTGTTCCACTGGAGGTTTTCTACTTCAGACCTCAGAAGCCTCATCCAGTATCACATGCTAGTAGTTCTGTGAACTGGATGTCTAAAACAACTGGAGGACGAAAGCCGAAGAACTACTTATACCTGTGAACACCACACTAGATGTTTCCACAGCCTTAGTTGCATAATTTCAGAGGAGTGCTTAAATAATCACAGTGCCTGCCACTGGTAGAAATCCAACTTAGGAATGAGTTGCCTATATTAAAAAAGACCAGTCACAAAAGATAACCAATTGCAATTTAGGGCAAATATTTTATTTATCTAGAAACACAAAATAAAATCACTTTCTTTTAAAAAAATGGCAAAAAAGGTATTTAAATAAAAAGTTTGTGAAATGTTATGGCACACAAAAAGTTCAAGGACAATTATAAATTCAGTTGCCACAACCATTAAGCATTTTTTGTTGCAGGATTTTTTTTAAATTTTTCTATAAAGACTTTTATTAAAGGTATTTACATATCATTAGGCTGTGTAAATATATTTACAACACCATTGGGTAGCAACATTTTCTGTCTTTTGTAAATCACTGTAAAGGGGAAAGGGGGGAATGCTTTAAATACCCCAAAATAAAAGTAAAGTGAAAATATGTTCATCCCCAAGCATGACGAGACGTCTGCCCAAAAGTTTTTATTTTTAAAAGTTCAGAGGCAGTTCTGAGGTTCTGGCCAAGGTTGTGTAGTTTTAGAGCATGCAATAAGCAGGAGTTCCACGTTTCATACATGGCCGAATTTATCCGTATATTTACGAAGCACTAAAAGTTTCCATCTTCTTCCACCTGGATCGTTTTTCATTCTACGCTGTGTGCATACCATCCCCCCCACCCCCACCCCAAAGTTCATGAGCCTTAAATTTCTTTATTATTTTCTTTTTAAATGCAACAGTTCCTTAGCTGCTGAAGCTTGTTTTTCAGCTGCTCCTGTCGCCGCCTCAGCTGCTCTTTCTCCGCTAACAGTCTGTGTTCATCTGACTGAATGGACAGGACGTATTCCGTGGCCTTTTTGAGGATAACCACTTTGGGAGCTTTCTCGTTATTGGCGACTTCCGGGATCTGGTCGCGCAAAGCAAAGAAACTCAGCTTGAGCTCGTTCCGCCGCTGGCGCTCCAAGACGTTGTGCGTTCGCCTCTTGTCGTTCTCCTCAGAGTCTGACGTGCGCGGACTCGAACATTTACGGTTGTTACTGATCTGCTTGAGAACCCTCCCGTTGTCCAGCTTTAGCCTTTTGGCTGCCGAAGATTCGACTCTGGTTGAAGGAGGGGCAGCGTAGTTGTGCTGGTGGATGGGGACATGACACCGCTTGAGGACCAGGGGGCTGTGGTGGGGCCTACTGTGCCCCCCTGTACTGGATTCAGATTTCTTTGCTGCAAGTTGCCCTTTCTCCACCGTTACAACGTCAATCTCCTCCTCTTCTTGTTCTTCCTCTTCTTCTGCAAACAAAAAAGGGGGAAATCAGGTAAGATGGGGTTGGGTTATTTTACCTCCCAAATCATGCAATTGTATGGACAAAACCTGGCATTGCTATTAAGTTTTTGGACCGTAACTCCCAGAATCTCCCAGCTAGTCCAAGCTATGGGTACACTAGAGACAGAACACCCATTTACTGTTACATGCAGAGCGACACCCCAAGCTTCAACCAAATAAAACCCCATGGAATCCTGTTTCTTTAAGTGAGCACTCAAAGCAAGGCGGCTTCTGAGGGTTATGCAACAGAAGAGAGAAAGCTAAGATGACACTACACAATTTCTACAGAGCATAACTCCTCAAAGGGTGTTAACTGAATCCTGGCTCCAGATCTCAAGATGTTGAAATGACAGGGTTGCATAACTGTTTTACAAGCAGGTCACCAAAAACTGCAGCCAGTTCGCAATCCAGCCAGTTTTTTTCCCCCACAGGAGCACAACCCTAATCTTGTAGGCAAATTGGTGTCTTCCAGATGTTTTGGACTACAACTGACATCAGCCACAGCCAGGATAGCCACTTCAAGGGGGATAGGAGCTGTTGCCCAAGACAAGTGAGAGAGAGAGAAATCAGCTTGTCCACCTCAACCTTTGCAATTTTGCCTGGCTGACTTGACCCTGTGCAAGGGTCATGTGAATCCTACCTGCCCATATATAACCAGAGCTTTGGAAGATAACGAGGACTACAGTTCCCATAATCCCCTTGACATTGCTAGGCAGAGGATTTGGGGAGCTGTAATTCAAGAATGCAACTTTCCCATTAGAATTATTTATTGGCCACCGTTGTCTGGATCGAAGGGCTGACCCATAGGAGTAAAAGCCATGTTTACATGGGAAAGACAAGAGTCAAATACCTCAAATGAGAAAAGAGCAGCATAAAAATGGCTGCACCACACCCAGGGTCTTGCATAAAATCCAGATGTGGGTTTCAAAAACACCTTTAGAAGTTTCCCCTACTCTTCTCCACCGCACTCAAAATTCCTGGCAGACCTCTCTATCCATGTCATCTTTGGTCTGGAAGAAACCTATGCAGCCGGATCTATGAAATGCAACCTTGTTCTGCCCTCCACCAGTGAAGCTGAAGAGAGTGTGTATGTGTGTGTGAGAGAGAATTCCCAAGCCCCTTTCCTCTTCTCTAAGTCTCCCCCACATCTCTCTTGCACTCCCTCCCTCTGGACATTTTCCCCACTGTTTGCAGGTCAGCCGAGGGCAGGCGTTATTAAAGGATGGCCAGTGACTGCTCCAAAGACCTCCACTGACCTTATTATGAAATTTGAGGAGCCCGGCCTCCCTTCTCCTACTCGGGCTACTTTTTCCAGGAAGTTAAATTCATGGGAAGACCAGCCATGTGTGTCGCTAACGTGGCATTTAAAAAAAAAAAACCAAGGAGAGTACAAGAATGCACACATGTGCTAACAGTGGGAGGCGCTGAGCAACTGAGATATTTAGGGCAGGGGGCGGACTAAATTCTACACCCCCCCCCTCCACTAACCGGGAAGAGCAGAATAAGGAAAAGACACCCCGGTTCAGATTTAGTTATTTTAAAGGCTGTGCAAAATAGTTCGGGTGGTTCAAGAATCCAAACCTTTACAAAGGGGGAATCAAGATAACTATTCTCAAACTAAATCTGTTAACAGAGATTTTACCCTTAGCTTGTGCTGGGCTCAGGCAGAGTTAAGGGACCATCATTATTAAAGGACCATAGATTGTTTCTCCCCTAAAGAAAAATGGGCAGCACAATCTTATGCATGTCTAAGTCAGAAGCAAGTTTGGCTGGGTTCAGTGAGACACAGCTTTACAGCCACATTTTGCTCCTTCCTGAAACGGGGGATTTAAAAAAGAGTAGATGCAGCGTGAGGTTGGTCCTGCAAACAGCCACTGACTTTGGCAATATATATATATATCCCACTGCCTCAGTGTTTCCATCTATATCATGGGATCATTCATGGACATGTTGATTTCCCCAGGAGTCAACAAAATGGTCTGGGATGTCTTAAGGGACAGGGTGCTGGAGTCTTTCACACTATACTCATGACACCTTAAGCTGTTCATAGAAAGCAGAATAATCTTCCCATGGGGAATAAACAGGGAGGAGATGACCAGCCCTAAGATACTTTTGACCTAAAGTTCAAAAAAAATTAAGTTTACCATTGTATAAATAAATATAGCACTGTGCTATATATCTGTTTTTAAATCTTGGGGGGGGGGAAGAGTTTACCATGCAACCCTATATGCATTTTTGTGTTCAGTGAGGCAGACTCCCAGGTAAAGTTGCATAGTCCCTTTTAGCTCTGCCCTTCCAAGATCTGGCCAGCCTCCTTTCCCAGGAGAGAGAAACCCCCGTCCTCTACTGGCTTAGGAAGCACCGGGACACCCCCCCTCTCCTCCTTTCCCCCCCAAAAAAGGGAGGCCAGAGAGAGCAGCCTTACAGGGCAACCGGCCAAGAGTAGACCAGGACTTACCAGAGTCGCTGCTGGTGGTGGGTGGGGTGTCCAGGAAGACAGCCGGGCAGGGATCCGGGGAGGGCTCCTCTTCTTCTTGGGCGCTGCTGGCCTTGGGGGGCTTCTCCCCCAGTGGGTAAGGAAAGACGACCGAGGGGTCGATGCACTCGGCGGCGGCCGCGCCCAGGTCCTGCAGGTAAGCGCTGCTGGGCGAGGAGGCGGAGGAGGCGACGGAGGAGGAGGCCGGCGTCGGGGGCGAGGAGGAGGCCGGCTGGCCGGCGCTGCTGCTGCTGCTGGTGCTGCCTCCGGTCCCGCTGGGGGCTTCTCCCCCAGTGGGTAAGGAAAGACGACCGAGGGGTCGATGCACTCGGCGGCGGCCGCGCCCAGGTCCTGCAGGTAAGCGCTGCTGGGCGAGGAGGCGGAGGAGGCGACGGAGGAGGAGGCCGGCGTCGGGGGCGAGGAGGAGGCCGGCTGGCCGGCGCTGCTGCTGCTGCTGGTGCTGCCTCCGGTCCCGCTCCGCTGCGNCCTGGTAGGAGGCGAGTTTCTCCGACACCACTTTCTGGAGCTTGGCGGCGGCCGAGACGCCGCTCCACATGCAGTCCTGGATGATGATGGACTTGACGAAGGAGTCGTCGTCCGGGTCGCAGATGAAGCTCTGGCTGACCACGTCGCTGCCCAGCAGCTCCGTCACCATCTCCAGCTGGTCGGCCTGGGAGGGGAAGCAGCCCGAGCGGCGGCTGGGCGACAAGGGCGGCGTGGGCAGCAGCTCGAACTTCTTCCAGATGTCCTCCGACGGGGCGGGCGGCTGGAACTCGCAGCCCCGGTGCTGCGCCGAGAGGTAGAAGTTCTCCTCCTCCTCCTCGAAGTAGAAATAGGGCTGCACCGAGTCATAGTCATAATCGTAAGTCCGGCTCGGGAAGCTGGGCAGGGTGAGCGGCATGGTGGTGGCGGTGGTGGTGGAGGGGGCGGACGGCGCCTGCCGGAGAGAGAAGAACCAGCGGGACCGGTTAGGAGTGGGTGGGTGGCCTTTTTTATCCGCCACCCCTCGGGGAGGAAACCCCCTTATCGCCCCCTCTCAAGCAACCTAACTTCCCCTCCCGTCGAACAAAGCGGGGTAGCTAATCCGGAGCACGTACCCCGGTCCTCGATCAGCCCACCCGCCCATGAAGCCGACGACCCAAGCGGTCTTCACGAGGCATGCGCGGTATTATACCCGGGCATGGGGCCGGCGGCGCGCAGTTAAAACATGCCCAAGGCTAACATGCCCGCAATTAAAACACTTAAAAAAAGAGAACGTTATCTAAATCCGGGTGGGGGGGATCTGAATTCTACGGCTCGGAATTATAATCCGGCGATCCAAAATGGGAGCAATTGCTTAGGGACGATCTGCCGGTCCGTCCCCTCCTCCCTCCCTCGCCGCAAATCGTAAATCTACTACGGAGACTTTGTCCATAAACACACATCGCACCCGGCAAGCTTTGGGTTGCGTTGCATGGCCGGAGACCCCCCCGAATTCAATCGACAACA